TAGTTAAGTATGTTGCCATACTCAACAGAGCGATTCTTTGGTTTATTTCAAGTAAGTCCACATAAACATGTGTCCTAAATGGCTAACACCCTGTATATATATGCAATATATACGAAACTTATACCATTTTGCAATCGTTCATCGCCTGGTATGTGACCAGCCTGCAGCAATTTACTAAGCCTCTGTACTTCCTCCAAAGAAGACGCGTTTGAAATGGCCTCTCGAATTTTATTACGTTCCTCAGGAGTGGTCAAAGGTTTGTCAGCAGCTGCACCCGCCGTTTGTGCCTTCACCTTTTTAGCTATCTCGCGTGCCATCTCTTTGCCACGCTTGCTTCTAAAGTATTCTGTCGCTACCTCACGCTCTGCCTGCTTAATTTTTCGAAAATCAAGTAATCTGAGTTGGGGAAATCTGTAGACGATATATTGTCTGTACTGTGGCTTAGCGGAAACTGGATTTTGAAGCAGACACAAATTTGTAAGATTCTTCAATGGTATCAGAGGCTCTAGATCACCCAATTCTTGTATCATATTGCCAGTCAACATCAGACATTGCAAGTTCGGTATATACTGCTCCAGTCCTTCGCCAATCCTGACGATACGATTGTTATTGAAGAACAGGGTCTTTATCCTTTTCAAAAGTGGAAAACCATCCAGCTTACGTATATCATTATCAGAAAAGTCTATTGTGTCAAACTGATCCTACATAAAAAGTAATGTAATATAATGTAATAATTATGTTGTAATAAAACTTATTTTTGGGCTAAAGAAATAAAGACTATAATATAAAAATGATATAGACTATAATAATGATAATATTATAAACATGAGTTACTATTTCTCCTAAAGTATGTACCTACCAAGGTCGCACCTAGGTTTTCAATAGTAGGTATCTTATATCCTGCAACACACCAGTGAAACAAAAATAATGGAATGAATGCGATATATGTAATAACAACAGATTTTGTACACAACAAACCTCGGAGATCTAATTCGCGATCTCGCACGGGATTAATGTACTGCATAGATTGTTCTATGAGTTCCGGCGTCAATTTCACCATCTTGAGCGATTTTTATAATCACTATTTTTATAACGATATACTTTCAAACACTAAATAGTGCGATCGGACGTATTACAAATTACAAGCACTCGCACGTCTTTTGTACGTCGCTCGATTTGATAAAAAGAAGTTTATGTTTTAGTTAGGTTAAGTTAAAATACTGGAAGCAACTAGCGACGTCAACAATGAGGGAACCATTCGAAACATTTATCGATATTAGATACGGCAATAATTTTCCTTATCTATACTGTATATAAACGTATTCTTAGCAGGGTTGAGTAAGTTAACTTTTTTTTTAATTATGTTAAGTTAAAGTTAACAATCTTGAAAATTCAACTTAGCTAAAATACAAGTTAATTTATAATGAAATTAATTGAATTAAAAGTTAAGTATTATATAGTAAAAAAAAATAATTGAAAAGTTAAAAGTTAAATTTGTTTGTTTTTATTTTTTTTTAATTCATGATTTCAGGGTTTCAGTCTTACAAATAACGAAAATAACGGAAATATATACTTCATTTTAAAAAATACTCTATATTTTATTTACATATTTTGTTTATATATACTGTTTAGTATATAAGATTCGACTATGAATACTGGCATGTGGTATAACTAAAGCTTCAAACACAATACGAGGGAGCGATAAGAAATAAGAAATAATAGATTTCAACCTGTCAGAACTAGATACATCGAAATACACCGTTTCTGACAGATTGATATCTGGGGATCGATTGTGTAATTTGAAATGAGGTGAAAATTATAAAAGTGAGAAAATTCACTAGAATATTTATAATTTCATTGGTCAACACCTAATAAATTTGCTCACTTCTGCAACCCTCACCTCATTTTAAGTTATTGCTATTGCCGTGTATTATGTCTAAGACTTAACTTCAAAGAATTAAATAAAAAATTAATAGTTACGGATATATATAAAATGTAAATAAAGTTAAAAAGTTAAGAGTCTAAAATGTAACTAACTTCAGTTAAAATTAATTAACTTTTTAACTTTTTAACTTAACTTTTATCTTTTTAACTTAGCACTTTAATCTAACCCTGATTCATACTAAAAATCAAAAATTACTACTGCTGCAATTAATTTGGAAATTAAAACATAATTTTAGCAAATAGTTCAGCATTCATCATATAAAAAAATAATAAGTATGATTTTGATAGACTAATAATTAAATATACTAATTATATATAGTGCTATACAATTTAAGTTTTTGGGGATAATTAGATATCAATTATAGTGCCATACAAACTTCTTATAAATAAAATTCCAATTAATTCAATTGGAATTTTCCAATTCAATCAATAAAATCACTTGAAGCAAAATTTATAATTTACTGCATATTGATCATCACATAAATTATGCCATCAAATCAAATATGATATCAAATTTATTTTCAATGGACAAAATCCGCGCTTTTTATTATTATAATTCTTAATATTTATCAAGCTTATCAAAATATATGCGATTTTTAACGATGACAGCTCACAACGCGAGATATAACAAAAAATATAATTTTTTTGTCTCATAAATATTTTTTACTAATGTGAAAATTGCGTTTCTTCCTCTACTTTAAGAAATAAGACTCGTAGTAGAGCATAATAATATCCAATCGTGTAACATATGTGTTTTGCTATACGATATAATGACTTTCTTCTTTCATCCGGAAGGATATTTTAAAAATGTAAAAAATATTCTTACGCTACATTTGTGATTTTTTTATTCTGTTCAGTATTTAGAAAAAAGAAGACAACTAGATAATAAGAGTTGGCTTCAATAATTATATATTATCAATAATTATATATTTATATACAATCTGTTTATAGCAGATCAAATTCAATATATTTACGCCTCAAACTCTTTTTGTTGGTCTGCAACAAGTAATACTCGTATATGCAAAATGTGTTGTATTTAGTTCATGATAGAGCAATTTCTTGGAATATTTCACAAAGATTGCATAACTATATATTAAACGCGTACAAGTAAAATGCAAGTGGTAATAAATAAAATCCGGTTCTCGATTTAATAAAGCAAGTAAGTATATTAAGCATTCGAAATATAGTGCAATCGCTAAGTAGACACTTAATTTCACTATCTCTGAACATCAACATCACAATGGTGAAAATTGTAGTCTGGAAAATAATTAATAATATATAATTAATGAACTTTTTAACATTATCTTATAAAATCAAGAAGTTTGTCTGGATAATCTCGCAAAAGATTTATCGATAAAAATTGTAATTCTTATTCATTTGCAACTGTTGCGTAAAGAATAAGATCATTTTCATCACTCTTTGGGTTTCTCCCATTTTGTATTTTCTTTTGAATTTTCATGATTAGCGTAATATCGCTTGGACAGATTTTGTAAATGTACAATTATTATGCATTAATTTTATGATACATCATAATAGTTATGAATTTCTGATGATACATCATAGTAGTTATGAATTTCTGATGATACACCATAATAGTTATAAATTTCTGAATTTAAATTTTCTGGAAAAACATAAATTTAATAAAAATCAAACTAATTAAAAACTAAAGCAATTCTCTGAATAAAAAATGCAAACAAATATTATTTTAATAAAAATCTCAGTTTAACTTGCATTTTACATAGTAAAGTGAATAAGGTAAAAAAATGTGCAAGATGACGTTCATCTAATTATGTGAGTCTTATTCTTTATGGAAAGTTACAAATGTAATTATTTTATCTCTTCAATAGACGGAAAATACCCAGAAAACTTGAATAACATTTAATTGACGGAACAAATGATTTCCATTCATTTATCATTATTTCTAAAGGAAATTAATATATGACGATTTATTATTGACTATAAATTCCTAAGTCTATATAAATGCGACAGAATGATTTTCAAATAGTGGCAATAGTTTTTATTCAAGCTGCTTAATCGAAAATTGAAGACAAAACTTGAAAAGATACTCTTATTATAATGTACACTAATCTTTGTTGAATTGCTTCTACGTAGGTTTTTTTTCTTAATTCAATATTAGTTTTTTTCTATTGAAATAACAGTTTCTCTATAATGCAAAGTATACAATACATAAAACATAATGTCATTTATAAGGCTAAAAGAAAAA